AGTATATAGTTTAATTTGATCATTTTAATAATCTGTATTCTTTTTAATTTACCAGAAACTTCAAAATAAATTCTCACCCTGTACTGAAACCTGTTTCAGCGTCTCACCACCACCAACTGGTGAGGCGAGTGGTGTCAATTTGAACCCTGCCCACTGGAACTAGTACTGAAACCATAATGGAAACACAACGTGTACCGCACTGAGCCGAGTAGAACCGTGCTGTACCGGTGCTAAAGGTGCAAATGGAAAAGGGGCCAATGCAAAGAATCTTTTAGATAGATAGCTTTTACTAATTAGCTTTTATAATGTAAAGTATGTGAATGTTTTTGTACAATGGCCTGAGAAGACTTGTTGTGACTTGGTTCTATAGAAAGAAACTGAATTGAATTGAAAAAGTTTTAAACAGTCAAAATAACTGGATTCTGTATTTGAAGACATTTCTTGTCCAACCTGAGGAGCTTTCAGATCTGGAAAGTGTGGAGTTCACGTTTAACCCTCATGAAATGCTCAGTTGTGTAACCTGGATTGACATGAGGGTCTTTAGGGTCTTTGTTAGCCTAGCTCACATGAGATGTTTTGGTCACCAGCATGAAGGTGTGAATTAGAGTGAACCTGACTGGGAAACTTGCCTAGTCTAAAACATGAACATGTTGGGCCTCAGCAGAGTGGCCCTGGTCCTTGAGGTGCAGGTGGCCCACTGAGTCTGGTCCTGAAGAGCTGCTCTCTGGTATTAAACCATGCATCTACGGAGAGGTTGTTTATTTTCTCCAGTGTAGAGGTGGGAACATTCCTCGCAACACTGAACTGCAGTCACCACATTTTAAAAATAAATATGTTTAAATGTGTTTACCTGAAGGGTCCGCAGTGCTCAGATGGTCTGTATCTCACGATGGCAAAGATGGTGGGCAGCATGCAGAGAAACAACATGAACAGCAGCATCGCAAGGTAGAAATTATTGGATCTGAAAAAAATAAAATAAATACCCTTCAAGCTGTAATTGGTATATTACGTTAAAAATCAAAGGTGTAGTGAACTAGGCCTGATGTCAAAAACTTTGACCTTAAGGACCATATGGGACAGAAGCTGTCATTTCATTGATATGAATCCAGAAATACAGGTTGACCCATCCTGAGACTTTCTTTCTTGAAAATTCAAGTGAAAGAACACTCTCTTTTTTATTATCATTACTATTTTACAAATGTTGATAATCAAAGTGTTTTAGTTCAAACCATTTTAGATGCTGCAGTGAACTAATCATTTTAATTAACTGTGAAACAGTAATAATGATTTTTAATCCTCATGCAAAGTTAGAATTCATGTTAAGGTCTGTTACAGAGTAATTATGCATTTTCTGATTTTCTGTCTTTGAATGAGCAAGTGTAAGTGGTCCAAGGTCAGAGTCAAACGCAGACCAGTTGTTGGAACGAGCTGTCATGTTTTTACATCCTCTCAGACGTAAATAGAGAAGCTGGCACCTGTTGGCACCTGTTTTCCAGCCAACTCGTCTAAATATCCCTCTCGTCTGTCTGAAAAACATTTTCAATCTGTTCCATAACATTCTTGCTGTTTTTCTGACTTCTAGTGACCTCTTACGTCACAAAACACACCCCTGTCTGGTCGATATTGACCAATCAGAAACTCCCAAATGAACCGGAAATAGAGCTCTTTAAAATGTCGGTACTTCCTAGTTTAAACCAGTGTCGAGAGAGTGGCGGAGAGTGTCGAGAGAGTGGCGGAGAGTGTCGAGACAGTGTCGGGAGAGAGTCGAGAGTCGAGTTTGGAGTCGTTGCAGCTCCCGTGCTGGGAAACAGGAAGATCCTGACATGACCACAGAGCTCTTTTGAGTCTTATGGGATTATAACATCTTCCACCTCTGAGTGGAACTCTGACGGACTCCACTCAAGTGAAGTCCACTTGTGAGGTGAACTTGTGTCGAACAAGCACCGTCACTACTTCTGACGATTCACAGCTGTTCCTACGGAGACGCTGAAAGGGTGCGTTGAATGGACTTTCGTACCGGTGGAGACACCTCCAGGTAAAAGAGTTGATTCTATCACCTAAGTGTACTGGGGAAGAAGCTGAGAAAACCCGGAGAGGGCCGTCCTGATGCTGACACAAACATTCTCCCTCACCCATCCTTTTTCTCCCTCTAAACTTCATCTTTCCATCTTTAAAATTCTTCTATCAGGTAGAAATCATTCCAGATATTTTAGAAATGTCGGTGTAAAGTTCTAAACCATCGCCGTATGGTTTTCTAATTGTACAGCTTGCTAACTAAGCCATGTTGTTATTTTCAATTTTGTCAAATTAATGTAAATGTGTGATGTGTTAAACTTTGATTCTGTTAATAAATGACCGCATTCATTTTGATGGGTCAAAGATAATTAACGTCTCACGTTACATTTCTAAATTCAATGCACATTATATACAGTCCAGAAAAATGAAAGAATCCGTTTAATTTATGAATATATCTCATGCATATGTTCATCTACAAAGGCAATATCTGGATAAACTAATTAACCCACATTTTTTCACAGACCATTTTTTAAACCAAGAAAAGCTCAAACACGAGACCTAAAAACAACAGAATTCAAATTATTCACTTTACACAACCTCTGATAGAAACCGAGTTTTTGTACCATTCAAGAAAAAATATTTTTATTGTTGCTGATCTTTTTTTATTTATTTTTTGCTTCAGACAAATGTTTTACTTGTATATAATGCATTTATTTATGATGTGGTACACCTGGTGTGTGTGTGTGTGTCATACCTGGAAGCTCGAAACACCTGCTGATGAGGAACATTACAGGTGAGGACGGCCCAACTCCTCAGATACATGAGACCAATCAGCTTCAAGACGTTAAAGGCAGGAAGACACGGTGAGAAGAAGGCTCCCATCCTGCACACACACACACACACACACACACACACAGTATAATCATTCTTTAGGAGATGTCGTTTTGCTGCAATAAACATAATGAAGTGGAACCAGAATTCGCTGAGTGGAATGTCTTTCTATAGGGGCTGTAACCCAGGTGTGTGTGTGTGTGTGTGTGTGTGTGTGTGTGTGTGTGTGTGTGTG